ATATATATATATATATATATATATATATATATATATATATATGTATGTATGTATGTATGTATGTATGTATGTATGTATCTCCAACTGTCAGAATTCTGTAATGGGAGAGAGAGATTGATTTAAAAGTGACATCCGCAATCTATGATTTACCAGGGTGTCATTCTTTGGCAGCAGCAATCCCATCAGAGTTCATAAATTAAGTAAGGTTAGGCCAGGTCAGTTCTAGATGGGACGCATTTAAAGAATACCTTAAGCTGCTGCAGGAAGTAATGGTGTTGATGCAGCTGGAGACACTCTTCCCTCTGAGGCTTTAACGTATGCCGTTATATAGTTGAGTAACTTCATGGATTTCAGGGGCCTTATTTCAGATTTATATAGCAGTATGCAGAAGCAGGCACCCTATCTCAGGCAAGATATAAAATTACATTCCTAACCACTTGAGGTCATTGAAGATCCCATAGCATTCTCTTTTAAAGCAGGGGTGCTACCTATTTGTCCCGGCCAAATTCCAGCTCAGGTAATTATTGTAAGCTGCCTGCGTAAATCCCCCCTGCAGTTTTAATTAGATAAAGCTGTCCTCACTTTCTATCTTGTGTAATGTTGCTGTGGTATTATTAATCATTTACTTTGCTTTCCCCTAGAAATGGTTGCATTTTAAGGCAGATAAAGTGCTCCTTTTCTACTTATTTTGCAGGCTAGGTCTGGCTGTATACTCTGTGTTGAGTTTGTTTGTTTTTTTGAGGGGGAAGTAAGCAATGTTAGATAAGGACAGCACTGTCAAACTCTTAATTAAATAAAAATAAATCTCAAAATGAGATTTTCTTTGAATCTTTGGAAGATTAGTGTCTTAGGCCTAAATTAACAGGTATAGATCAGTTGTTGCTCTCACTGACTTCTACTGGAGGAAAGAATACTCAGCGTCATTTTAAATCATGGCCTCCTGTCCACTTGTATTTGATTTTGAAATGAGAAAGTAGTGTAAGAAGGCGTTATTTAACTATGAAAAAGCTGCCTTTCTCATAATCTTAACAAACTGTGCAGGGCCAAAGACAAGGCCAAAGTCTAGAATAGCACTAACTCCCAAAATGGCTGAATTCTATTTAATTTTTATATTGGTAGAATTCTTAAATCTAATTAAACCAACTGAAAAATAAGACAGTAGAGACTTTCAACAGTCTGTGAGACTCTCGCTCTACTTCAGTGGTTCTCAACCTTGTTAGACTTGTGACACTCCTGGGTAGCCCTGAGGAACCTCTTGGAAAATACCAACTCTCGGTTTTCACTCTTTTTTGACTACAGAAAAATAATAGTTTTTTCTGTTGCAAAGAGCTCAGAAAGACCCCAGCTATGGATTTCTGTTTGAAATTCCTGGGTTTATCTTGTGAAACACGTTTGCAAACCTAATAGTGCTAACATTGCGTGGCACTGCACGACACCCTTGAAAAAATTTTAAGACACCCCAGGTGCCATAGCACCCTGGTTGAGAATTACTGCTCTACTCCTGGGACTGTTTTCCTGCCATCTCATCAGTTCTGACCTTTATCATCTGTCAACCTGACTAAAAATGTACCTATTCAAAGTGTTTAAAATTAATTGCCACTGCAAAAATGCAAATAGTTTAGCAGCACAGAGCAGCAACAAATAATCTTAATTATTTGGAGACTTCATGCCATAATGAGATTTTTTTTAAAAATAATTTCTTCTTTTGGGGCCTCTAGAATAATTTAAATATGCTCTCCATTGAATATTCCCTATAACTGCTCCAGTAATTCATTAATGCAATAGTCATATCACTAATAAAGCATAGCGGCCCTCCAACCAACTACAGATGTTATTTTGGCACTTGCTCGTATGTAGAGCAAACTTGTATATGAAAATGAAAATCTCTCAAAGCTTGTTTTTTGGGGGTTTTTAATTAATTAATTATTTTTTGTCTGTGAGAGTTCAATTCAGTGTGGCATGAGTAATGGTCAGAAATGCATTTCTATCCCAAGCCATGCATTTAAATATTTATCTCCATTATGTATAACAAAGACATGGTAGGATCAGAGCAGTGTAGGTTTGGGAATGTTAGAAGGACTGAGCACTTGGCTTTACATCAGTGGTTGTCAACATTTTTGGACTCAAGGCATCCATCATTAGACTTGAGGCATCCTTCTGAAAATGCCAGCTCTTTAGTTTTCACTCTTTTTTTGAAAACTAACAGTGCAGTTGTTTTGTTACAAAGACTGCAACAGATCAGACTGTTATTAACACTCTGGATCTGCATTTGAAATCTCTGGGTTTATTTTGTGAATCATGTTTACATACCTAACCATACTAACATTGAGAGGATCTCAAAGCCACCCAGGGTGCCGCAGCACCTTGGTTGAGAAGCACTGTTTTCCATGATGGCACTGGATTTATTTTATATACAAGAGAAGAAGCTGTGCAGGAAACTGCTGGCAATTAGACCAGAAGCACAGTAGGAGTTTCTGGTGATGACATGATAAGCACAAGAACAGAGTTCATTTAGTTCAGGAGGTTACTAGGATCAAGAAGTTTGTGTGTATGTTGTGTCACTTGGCTCACATACTTCACATGCAAGATATTGCTCTCTTCTGCATGCTTGCTTTTGCAAAGATTCAGCCAACTGTACATGAGATTTAAAGTGTTGACTTCTTCAAACCTGATTTTAGGGTTGTGCCTAAGTAAGGACTGGTGGATGGGACTCCATATGGGCCTACAGTCTTTAAGTTAGAAGTTAAGGAAACCACAGATATTGCTTTAGGGCCATATTCTTACTTTTACATGAGTTTTCATTTACAGAGTTTCTTTCTCATTGTGTGGAACAGTTAAAGAGATTGGCTCCTTAAACCAGAAGATCTCTTGAAAGCTACATATATCTTAAGGAACAGACTCCTTGTGTCCCCTTTATAGCAGACCTGCTGTCCATTTATCCCTAACTGTGGCTTTTGCAGAAGCTGTGTTGCACACTCACTGTTCCCGAAATTGGACTAGCAGGAGTAGGTACAGATGGGTCTACAGGTGTTAATATTGCCTCTAAAAGCACTAACACCTTCTCAGATTTCAACCTTTAAGCCTGAAAGGCACAGAGTTACTGAGAACAACTACTCCCCTGCTCCACCTGCTGCCCTAATAAACCAACAGAGGACCAAATATGTAAAGCTTTATCCAACAGAGGAGCCTTCCTCAGGGTGCCACAGAGCTCAGGGAAATGTACTTCAGGACTGATACACTTCAGCTAGGATCTGCTGTTCTTGAGAGTGAGGAAGGATATTTTTATTATTAGTTTTAATGAATCAGTCCCTTGGTGCAAATGATTTACTTGCTTATGCCTAAGATTGAAGATTGAGCAAAATGTTCTTCCTTTGTCTCTTCTTACACTGTAGAGTATTTTACTAAAAACCTGCTATTGTGCACAAACATTTTAACAAACTGTTTGTTGTTGTATCCAGGTAACAAGCATGGTAAGTATTTTAACTAAACCAAGTATTATGTACTTCAGCTGTGCTTGGCAGAATTTTTGGCTAGCTTTTACTGTACTTTCAGCCTGCGCTGTTTCTAAAGGAGCTATTCCAAGGAAGAAACTGCTCACCTATCGTACTACTACCTATAAGCTTGAGAAGGAACGTATATGCAAATTCATCTACCATAAATAAAAGCATGCATCCCTTGCCAGCATGCTTGCTACTTTGCTTGGGAAAATGAAGTTGCCTAATACTGCTTGTGTTCCTTCAGTGTAAGCCACATACCTAAACATTAGCACTTGAATTAGTACAGCATTTCTAAATGAATAGCCCTACTGTGGCCATACAGTAACAGTTTATGCTTACCTATTGTGTTCTGCCCTAAAATATCTATTTTCCTAACCCTGCTGGGATAGAGACCATCTTCTTGTTCTGTATTTGTACACAATGAGGTCTTGAGTTGGGACCAGAGCATTCAAACGCTATAGTAACACAGGGTTTTTTTTAAAAGCTGTATCTCTATGATTTAAAAGTAACAAGGAGAATTGTAAATAGAAATCTCAAATTAGAAACCACAGAATGTTTTTCCTTATTTTTATGATAAATTGGAGGAAAAAAAATGGAGAAAAGAATTTGAAATACCTACAAAGAAAAATAAAGCAGTATTCACAAGTTCCTGTATTTCTGTGTTCTCCTTTAAAAGTTTTTTCATTCTAAAGGCAAACTTCTCTAACAATCAAAGCTAAACTTTGCTAGGCCTCAGTCCTGCAAACAGAGCCACGCAGGCAGACCCCCACTGAATTCAAAGATATATTAAATCAGTGGAGTTTTGCGTGGACAAAAATATATACCTGCATGGGTATAAGTGCAAGGTTGGAGCCACAGTGTACTCTCCCAGAGCTCCATGCATGTCAAGCAGATTGCAAGAGTTCATCCCTACTGTGCCTGTCTGACAGGAGAATTTTTGCTTTGAGATAGTTTGGGTGTAATTAGCTTTCATGCTATATTTTTCTGCATGGTTTGCTATTTTTGCATTTTCTGTGTGGCTTTTTAAGTGTTAGTTATGTGCTTGTAGCTGCACTTATGTAACACGATTTGTCGTGTCAAATGGTTTAAGACTCCATGTAATTGTCATGTTAAAGGATCAGACTGCAAAGGACAAAGCACTCCAACACATGGCAGCAATGTCATCAGCTCAGATAGTATCAGCTACTGCTATTCACAACAAGTTGGGCCTGCCAGGAATTCCCCGTCCTACATTTCCTGGTGCACCTGGGGTAAGTTGTCAATCAACTCCAATAAAAGTATTTCTAACAGTGATCAGTAGGAAATGAAGGCTAGATCAGTGGATTGGTGTATAAATTGTACTTTTGTGTGCTTTTGCAAAGCAAATATTTTTATATATAGTAGGTAATAGTATTCTACAAAGAAAACAATGGTAACTTTTTTTATTTCACCTCTAGTTTTGGCCAGGAATGATACAAACAGGGCAGCCTGGATCCTCGCAAGAGTAAGTCTTCAGATTATGGATGTTCTTTTCTGTATGGGAGTCACTGGGATTCACTGACAGAAGATGCTAAGGAAAATATTTTGACTTTTAAAAAGTCGGATAATTGCATGTAAAGGAATACCCTTTATAGTTACACTAACTCCTGTTAAACTTTCAAGGGGCAGAAACTAGACACCAGCTGTGGACAAGCCCTTTCTTTTAACCAGTACCATAGCAAGAAAGTTTCATGCCCAGGGCAAATCTTGCAGTGACAGTCGACCCTCAACCCACGCACAGATCTGGGGGGCACATGCCCCTCTGCCAGCGCTTGCCCAGGGGTGCATGCACTGGCGGGAGCCACCCTTCCTCCATCCCCATGCGCCCCCAAATGAGCCGCTCGCAGCTCTGTCCCATGCCCCGCCCCAGCTGGGCAGCGTCTGTTGGCACCCCTTTCCTTCAGCACCTGGGGCAGTTGCCCTGCTTGCCCCCCTTATTATGGTGCTGCTTTTAACCCCTTGTAGAATCATACATAGTAGGGGCTGTATGTATATGTAAGTATGCATTTATGTATGTATATGTATATGTTTGTGTGTGTGTAATAATATATGTTATGTTATATTATATTATGTTATAATAACATTATATATATCTACCTACCTACCTACCTGCCTATAAAGTATATATGTATATTTCCACCGCAAATCTTTCCATTCCCATTTTAACACATAAGGCATGTGGGAGGAAAAGCCGTCCTAAAACTCCCATTTTACTTTAGGGCAGGAGATGACCATTTCAGGTGCCACCACTGCATGAAGGGCCTGCAGTAGGGTTTGCAGCTGTGTAACACTTTGGTGCCAATAATTTTGTCCTGGGACCTTTATACCTGGATTGTCTTCTTCCCCCCTGCCCTGCAGGAAAGTAGAAGTACCTCTTCCATGCTTGAGACCTCAGTACAGTCAAATAGCTGCACCAAGAACCAACACACCAATCAAATGAAACATCCCAATGTACTTGTGCC